AAAGAGTGTACTTAATTTTTAATAATTTACTTTAGTCAAAGAAAATCCAGTTATATCCATTTTGTTTCTCTATTTAAAGATAATTTGGCAATGTTTTAAAATAACATAACATGTCATTCAGACTCTGATACTAACAGAATAGAGTCTAAAAGATGTTTTATTTTGAAAATTTAATGATTCTTCAATGATCAGCACTTTGGTACTGGTCTGTAGTAACGAGTGGTACTGGCTGACCAGTCCTTGGGGACCGCTGGTATAGATGTAACTACTTCATAATACACTAATACATGTTTCTGCAGTTGACTATTATTTATTCAAGCTGCAAATATTGTTCATTGCTGTGTATTAAAAATGTTTTCTTAGGTTAAGAAACTGCATGGACTAACTAGGCCACACAAAATGGCTTGGCAGGCCGCATTTGGCCCCTGGGCCTTGAGTTTGACACGTACTGTATGTATTGGAGACACAAAGTGTCCATGTTTCAGACGACACTGCCTCTCAGCTAAAGAAAACATGAGGAGGTCAAAGGTGAAGATGAGCCACAACATTAATAGAGACATAAAAGTTCAGACCCATCCATGGGAACTTTTAACTTACCAAACTCTGATTGGCTGTTTGGAAAGAGGATGCGAAAGACATAGTCAGTGGCCTCATCCTCCTCCTTATCTGACACAAAGTCTGAGGAACCCAATCCCTGCGAAATCCTCTTCCGCAGCTTGGGGAACACCTTACCCTGCAATGACAGCGCAATGCTAATTAAAGTAATGTCAACAAGACAAATAGCTGAGCCATTAGAGCCCAGCTAAGCCATCCATGCACACTAAAGATGATGAGTGTTCGTTTGCCTAAGCGTATTAAAAGTGGCTGAACCTGTGTGGGTGGATTTCATTATTCAGTTAAACTGCAGCTACACAGTCCAACTCAGAGTTTCATCTGTATATGTCAACACCTAATGTATGTCTGAGTGCAGGAAATAGAAAGCTGCAAATTAATCAGCTTCAATCAACGCTAGTCCTCAGGACCCAGAACCTCCACATGCAACTGTACATGTACAACAAATAAAGCAAATAAAATGTATATTGTGACAAACCTGACTGTACAAAGGCAACAGAAATAAACAAACTAATCATGCTGGATGACAAGACAGGCGTCAAATAGTTTACTGCAGCAGCTTCAGACTCTGTGTTAACTGTTTGGTATTGTATAATTTACTATAAACCTGATTTTTTAATGAAAAGAACAAGATGCTAATTTGAGTTTTGAATTTGATTTTTGTACGTTTCTATCTCTTTAAAGTTAAACCATCCTTATTTTCACGGCTTATTTGACGTTTTTATGAAAATATTGCTTACAGGTGCTTACATGCATAGTAGCATATACAGTAGGTTTCATTATAATCAAGAAATGTAGTTTGTTAGGTCTGTAGCAGCCCCTACTCCCCTGTAGACCGTGCTATAACAGAGATTTGAAAGCTCTGGTTCACCGATGGATTATGTGTTTGTCTTTTAAGTATAGTTTTATTCAAAAACTTGCTTCATTGTCTTAAAACAGTAACTGTGAAACACTGCAGTGTACCAGGTTGAGATGTATCTTTACAGCCTGTGTTACAGGACCACTGCTACTAGATCAATACTGCTCAATGACACTTCAACAATTTTCTAATCTCATTGTCTTACTTAAAAATTGATTTATTGATCGGTTCTGTTGGAGTTTACAAATACTCCATGATCTGACCTTCCCCCGCTGGGACCAGAGTGGAGGGTCCAGCTGGCCACGGGGTAGAAGGCCATTCTCCAAGCAGGAGAGGAACTGGAGCAAATGACCTCCTCTGGGGAAGCGAAATGGAGGCCTTTGGATTCCATCCTGACTGACCAGCACCACTGTACCTCCACTGTCAACTGCGGGAGGCACAGAACATCAATTATTTATTATCAAGGAGGGACATTTGTTAGAAAATCAATCCAATGTAGATATGGACCCACCTTGCTGATGACAGTGCAGATAAACTATCTCCTGTAGGCGGATTGTCATAGCATAATCCCAGTACACACTGGAAATAAGAATAAAACACCAATGTATCACAGGAGCTAAACTAAAGATATAAAGAAAAATGATTTCATGACAAGTGTTGAAGACAATGTGAAATTATAATCAGGAAACCAGGCACACACAAACGAAAATAACATGGTTTGCTCTGCTGAGAGATGTCTGACAGTGTTTCAGTCTATAAACCATCTGCCTATGGCTGGTGTGCTGAAAATAAGGCTTATCACAACGGCAACAGTTACTCTACATACTGAGTCACACACAAACACTGCATTATTCAGTGAAATCCCAGCGTTAGACAAACATCACAGGGGAGACTGGTGCTTTCACATCTTTGAAGAAACGCACGGATGTTCTTGATCTAAGACGGATTATCATTATTACCGTCATCACACACAGACACACACAATTACAGTCATCATAATGCATTTGTGTGTACCTCCGTTCATAGTCCAGGTCTCCAACGGAGCCATTCATTAGCTGATTGGGCGTCCACTTCAGTGTCATTATGTCAGCAGTCTGGTGCAGGGACAGGTAGCCTGGAATGGCCTCCATGTCATCCCTCTGAGACAGGAATGAGTTTGTCATTGGAATCTCAAACAATCACATACTAACTAATAACTTACTGCTTACTTATTACCTATGAGCACAATGGTCCTTCATACAGTGGCTTGCAAAAGTATTCATATCCCTTGAACTTTTCCACATTTTGTCATGTTACGACCACAAACATAAATATATTTTATGTGAAAGACCAACAGAGTGGCATACAATTGTGGTAGTAGAAAGAAAATTATACATGATTTTAATTTTTTTTACAAATAAAAAACTGAAAAGTGCGAGTCTCCCCCCCCCCCCCCCCCCCCCTTTGGGGAACCACCTTTTGCTGCAATTACAGCTGCACGTCTTATGTCTCTACCAGCTTTGAGACTGAAATGTTTGCCCATTCTTCTTTGCAAAACAGCTCAAGCTCAGTCAGATTAGATGGAGAGCAGATCTTGCCACAGATTCTCGATTGGATTTACGTCTGGACTTTGACTGGGCCACTCTAACGCATGAATGTTTTGTTTTAAACCATTCCATTGTAGCCTTGGCTTTATGTTTAGGGTCGTTGTCCTGCTGGAAGGTGAATCTCTGATACAGTCTCAAGTCTTCTGCAGACTTCAACAGGTTTTCTTCCAAGATTGCCCTGTATTTGACTCCATCCATCTTCACATCAACTCTGACTATCTTCCCTGCCCCTGCTGAAGAGAAGCACCCCCAGAGCATGATGCTCTTGACAGTGGGGGTGGTGTGTACAGAGTGATGTGCAGTGTTAGCCTTCTGCTACACATAGTGTTTTACATTTATTCCAAAAAGTTCAATTTTGGTCTCATCTGACCAGAGCATCTTCTTCCACATGTTTGCTGTGTCCCTCTGACCCTGGAAAACTGCAAACAAAACTTCTAGTGGTTTTCTTTTAACAATGGCTCTCTTCTTGCCACTCTTCCATAAAGGCCAGATTTGTGCAATGCACGACTAATAGTTGTCGTGTGGTCGTGTGTCCCCCACCTGAGCTGTAGATCTCTGCAGTTCACCCAGAGTCACCATGGGCCTCTTGGCTGCATCTCTGATCAGTGCTCTCCTTGTTTGGCCTGTAAGTTTAGGTGCACGACCGTGTCTTGGTAGGCTTTCAGTTGTGCCGTACTCTTTCCATTTCCATGATGGAATGAACAGTGCTCCATGAGATGTTCAAAGCTTGTAAAATCTTTTTATAGCTTAAGCCTGCTTTAAATTTCTCCACAACTTTATCCCTGACCTGTCTGGTGTGTTCCTTGGACTTCATGATGCTGTTTGCTCCCCAATATTCTCTTAAGCCATCACAGAACAGATGTATTTGTCCATCCATCCATCTTCAACCGCTTATCCGGGGCCGGGTCGCGGGGGCAACAGTCTGAGCAGGGACACCCAGACTTCCCTCTCCCTCGACACTTCCTCCAGCTCTTCTGGGGGGACCCCAAGGCGTTCCCAGGCCAGCCGAGCGACGTAGTCGCTCCAGCATGTCCTAGGTCTTCCCCTAGGTCTCCTCCAAGAGGGACGGCACCCGAGCACCTCCCAAGGGAGGCGTCCAGGGGGCATGCGATGTAAATGCCCAAGCCACCTCAGCTGACTCCTCTCGAGCTCGAGCTCCTCTCGTGTGACAGAGCTCCTCACCCTATCTCTAAGGGAGCGCTCTGCCACCCTGCGGAGAAAGCTCATTTCAGCCGCTTGAATCCTTGATCTCGTTCTTTCGGTCATGACCCAAAGCTCATGACCATAGGTGAGTGTAGGAACGTAGATTGACCGGTAAATCGAGAGCTTCGCCTTTCGGCTCAGCTCCTTCTTCACCACAACTGCGGCCACAGCACCGATCCGCCTGTCAATCTCCCGCTCTATCCTACCCTCACTCGTAAACATGACCCCCAGATATTTAAACTCCTCCACCTGAGGCAGGACTTCCTCCCCAACCCGAAGGGTGCATACCACCTTTTTCCGGTCGAGAACCATGGCCTCGGACTTAGAGGTGCTAATTTTCATCCCAGCTGCGTTACACTCTACTGCAAACCGCCCCAGTGCATGCTGCAGGTCCTGGTTCGAAGAAGCCAACAACACCACATCATCTGCAAAAAGCAGAGATGAAATCCGGTGGCTACCGAACTGGACCCCACCCGACACCTGGCTGCGCCTAGAAATTCTGTCCATGAAAATAATGAACAGAACCGGTGACAAAGGGCAGCCCTGCCGTAGTCCCACATGCACCGGGAACAGGTCCGACTTACTGCCGGCAATGCGAACCAAGCTCCTACTCCGATCGTACAGGGACTGGACAGCCCTTAAAAGAGGGCCCCCAACCCCATACTCTCGAAGCACCCCCCACAGGATACCACGAGGGACACGATCGAAAGCCTTTTCCAAGTCCACAAAACACATGTGGACCGGTTGGGCAAACTCCCATGAACCCTCAAGCACCCTCCGAAGGGTATAGAGCTGGTCCAGTGTTCCACGACCAGGACGAAAACCGCATTGTTCCTCTTGAATCCGAGGTTCGACTATCGGCCGGATTTTCCTCTCCAGTACTCTGGAATAGACTTTTCCCGGGAGGCTGAGGAGTGTGATCCCCCGATAGTTGGAACACACCCTCCGGTCCCCTTTTTTGAAAAGAGGTACCACCACCCCGGTCTGCCAGTCCAGAGGTACTGTCCCCGACTCCCACGCGATGCTGTAGAGGCGTGTCAGCCAAGACAACCCCACAACATCCAGAGACTTAAGATACTCAGGGCGTATCTCATCCACCCCCGGCGCCTTTCCACCGAGCAGCTTTTTGACTGCCTCGGTGACCTCAGCGCAGGAGCTGGGTGGATCAGCTGCTTAGTCCTCAGCCTCAGCTCCCTCCGCGGAAGACGTGTCAGCGGGATTGAGGAGATCCTCGAAATATTCCTTCCACCTCCCGACGACATCCTCAGTCGAGGTCAACAACTCCCCCCGCCCCCCCGCTGTAAACAGCAGTGGTGGGAAACTGCTTCCCCTTCCTGAGGCGCCGAATGGTTTGCCAGAATTTTTTCGAGGCCGACCGGTAGTCCTCCTCATGGCCTCCCCAAACGTTTCCCAGACTCGAGTTTTTGCTTCCGCGACTGCCCGAGCTGCAGTCCGCTTGGCCTG